CCCCTGCCCGCCAGCCTCAGCGCCGGGCGGCTGGGCCTCCCAAGCTGCTGCAGGTTTGCTCTTGGCCTTCGCTCCGGAGAAGCCCACGAAGCTTTGCCCGCAGAGCAGAACCGAGCGAGCTCACGACCAGCCGGGTAAGAGGAGGATGCGCCCTCAGCTTGCCCCTCCGCCCTGCCCTGCGTGTCTGCTCCTGCTCCCTCAGTCATGGCTGATCCCACAGTGCGGAGGCTGAGCTGGCCATGGTGCAGCGGCTGCCCGCTGGGCCTCAGCGGGGCTGCTCTCGGCATGGTGGGCAGCACCGTGCTCCGTGCCCCGCGGGTGCAGGCAGGGCAGCTAGCACTTTGGGGACTCTCGGCAACCCGCTGACTCAGGCGGTGGTCTCTGGTGGTGGTCTCCACCCAGGCCACGGTGGTACGGGACCTGTCCTGGTCACTTGGTGGAGAGTAGCTGTCGGGGTCTGAGCCCACGTCCTGCTGGCTCCCAGGAGCTCTGCCCGTCCGCGGGCACTGGTACAGAACAGCTGCATTAGCTGAGGTGGAGCGGCAGCACCGTGCTGGTGCGCGAGACCCACATGGGAGGCCCCGGTTCGTGCCCAAGGCCTCCTGTCTGCGCCGGGCATGGGCGGTCCAGGCTGGCTGGGCTGCGAGGGGCCCAGCTTGGAGACCCTGTGGGGCCCGTGTCTCTGTCCTTCTCATAGAAGAGACAGACGGATAAACTTTAAAAGTAATTGGACACAAGTAAAGGTGATCATGACACAACTAGACGCTCTGTGAAATCCAGGGCAGGTCAGGACCCGCCTGCTGGGCGGGCTGCCCCTGGGTGGCCTCTCACTGGCTGTAGCGCGGGGCACAGTGCCCTATGGTAAGCCTCTCTGTGGAGTGGAAAACTGCGCTGCCGACAGCTCGGGACTCTGCCGTTCCCTTAGGCAGAGTTTGGAATCCGCAGAGCGTCCCGTCACTTGGTTGCAGACGGTTTCTCAGTCTCACCTCATCCTGGGGGGCTCCAGGGTGAGGCTCACCTGCCCCCCGGCTCTGGCCTGTTCACTGGCCTCAGGGCTTTCTGCACTGCGACTCCTAGCGGGGGTTCTGAGGAGGCTTTGGGGTTGCAGAGTTCTGCCCAGCCTGGATGCCTGAGGCCTCACCACTTGACGCCAACGAGTGGCCCCGGGTAACCCTTGGGAGCGGGCGGCCAGGCCCGCAGACCCAGCCCACAGCGCGCCAAGGCCTGCGTCATCCTCAGCCCGTACCAAGGAGGATCATCTCACTAGATGCCAAGAACCAGTTATGACACTTTTCTGTCATGCTGTTTTCCCTTATTTATACAGTGGAGAGTAGGATGTTTTCAAATAAACCCTCTAAATACGAGATCCTGAGCATGCACGGCTTCGCATTCCGCACCGTGTGCAGCTTCTCGTGGGTTACATCACAAAGCATGTTGGAACAGCTTAGGGAGCCCGAGCGGAGATGTGTCTCCTTGCCCATATGCCGAGTGCTGGCGTCTCCGTACCCTTTCCAAGCTGTCGGCAATTAGTGCAGAAATTAATTTCGGTCTTCATCTCCTGCACAAAACCCAGCTCGACCGACCGCCGACGGCACCAGGTACCACAGCGGCTGGAGAGACGGAGCACCCTGCACCCAGGTCCGTGGACAGACGTGGCCGTCCGCCGACGGGAGTGGAGGGGTGGCTTCTGTGGGGACAGACTGCCTTCCAGGAGCAGGCCGTGGTCTCGGACTCCTTGCCATATGTGCATTTTTGAGAAAACAAGGGAGCGGGGAGCAGAGCCTCCCTGCTCAGGTACCACCCAGCCTGGCCAGGCGAGGGCAGCCCTGCGGGGCAGCTTGCCGTCTTGTCCAGCCCGGGTCTCCTCGCCTCCCCCGTCCCTCCAGCCTGCTGCCTTGGGTCTGTCCCTCTGTCCACGGCCTGCCTTTGGAACCAGTGAGGGCCCTATTTCCCGTGTGAGGGCCGTGTTAGCTGGTGGCCAGTGTCCCACCTTGGTGGCAGCAAATGGACAGGAGGCCCTCCCCTCAGGCACGGCCCCTGCCCGCCTGCGGCTGGCTCGCCTCCTCACACTCAGGCCGATGCCATGCTCAGGGACTTCTGCTTTGGGATGTCGCAGGCCATGGGGACAAACCAGGCTTTCCTTAGAAAATGGCATGAAACTGTGATGCCTATGTTTTACAAGGCACACCCTGGGCCGGCGGGTGGTGTAGTGGCAGAGCACTGGACTCCCACATGGTTAACCGTGGTTTGAGTCCCAGATCTGGTGGCTTAAAATTCACGCAGTGCATGTGTATGCGTGCCCAAAATCCCAGGAGGAGAGTGGGGGAGGAGAGGATTGTGGCATGGCTATCGCCCCTGGGGGTGATTTTTTTACTTTCTGTCTCTCTGGTGAGCGCACGTGCCCAATAACAAAAATATCTAAAAAAAAAAAAAAAACAGCATACCCTGGGCTGGCCTCAGCCCACTGGTTCTAGGAGCTGCGTCCCTCACGGCTGAGTACGGCTCAGACCCAGCCAGAGCTGACGTGGCCCAGGTGCTGAGTATGTCCCCAAACCCTGATAAGATGGAGAAGGGACTGTGGTGTGACCACTCCTGTGGGCGTGTGTGCCCCGCCCCTCTCCCTCCCTTTCTCTCTCTCTCTGGCAAGCTCACGTCCACACTGGCAAGCTCCCGAGGGGTTGTTTCTTGCTGTCTCTCATTGTCTCTCTGTCTCTGTCTCTGGCAAGCCCATGCACTCTATGGCAAAACCCTAAAAGTAAAATGAAATAAATGAAATTTGTGTTTTTTTAAGCAACCCCAAATAGCGGCCCAAAGTAGGGGGGACCCACAGGTGCTGTGCCCCGCTCCACAGCATCGAGGTAAAAGCTGGCATCGGGGCCCAGAAGAGCATCACGGGAAGTGGGTGGGACAGGAAGCCAGTGCCTGGCACGGGGCTGCCACGGAGCTGGGCTCTGCCGGGCGCTGTTTGGGTGCGCTTGCCGTGGCGAGCAGGCAGCCCTCTCGGGACCCGTCGTTTGGGGCTTACCTGTAAGCTCCATGGTACTCCCCGACCAGAGGTGGAGAACGGCGCTGGGACGAGAAGAGGCTCTTCAGACCATGATGCAGGGGAGCTCCCGGAAAGCGGGGGGCCGTCGTGGAAAGGAGGAGTTTGGCCTGTTGGGAGCTCGCGGGGACGGGCCGGGGACCCCGAGCAAACACGGCTGTCGTGACGTGCCATCCTCTGTTCAGCAGCGACGGCGAAAGTCGCCAACTTGGGAAGAAGTTTCATGTGGGGTTGGGCTCACGGTGGGCGCGTGGCACGTGAGGGTCCCCCCATGTGGGGTTGGGCTCACAGTGGGCGCGTGGCACGTGAGGGTCCCCCCATGGCACGGTCACGCCAGGCCCTTCTCCGTCTCCCCCCTTTTGTGATGTTGGCATGCCTTGTAAGCAGCCAGGTCTGGGACTTGAACCAGGCAGTTGGCAATGTGAGAGTCACCCACCTTACGCGCCATGCTGTGGGCTTGCCCCGCTCGGTGTTCTTGAGTTCCTAAGAATACCATGTAAAGAGAGGCCCGCAGTGTCGATGCCACGACACTCCCGTGTCACTGGTAGCAAGACACTGCGGACCGTCTTGGCGCCACACGTGACGTAGCCAAGTGCGGACTGGTTGAGCCGGTGGGGCCGTCTGTGGTCAGCGTCACAGCACGGAGAATGTGACGTGAGGAGCGTGTGCTCAGGGCTTCACGTCAGTGTAGGCACCCGCTGAGCCCCAGCGCTGAGCCCCGACGTGGCCCAGAGCCTGTGCTTCGTACGCTGCAGCTGACCAGCTCCGGGCGTCCTGTGGTGGCCGGGAGAGCAGCCGGTCCCCGGTCCCCAGTCCAGCTGGGGCTCCCACCCTGAGGTGGACGAGCCACCCTTGGCGTCTACCTTGACCTAAGCCTCCTGGTGGCGATGCGAGTGTCATGGCGCTCTGGCAGGAGCCCTGGGCTCTCAGAGGGCGGCTCCATGGCGCCCTGCTCGCCGGGGGCCCTGTGCCTGTTGGGCGTGCTCAGTGTCTTTCCACCGGCTGGAGGCCAGGCAGTGTGCCAGGTGGCGAGGGCGGGCAGGAGTGCCAGGCGGCGCCTCCACACTGCTGTGCGGCAGGGCTGGGAGGGCCGGGGTGAGCTGCAGGCCTGCTCAGGTCCCCGCAGATGGCCTGGCCGAAGGCCTCCATCCGCCCTGTCCGTTACTCTGCGCTCCCGGGCCTGATTCCAGGGCCTGGGCTCCCGTCTGCCATCGCGCGGGACGAGGTATCCTGGGTGGGGCTCGTCCTCCCTTGCTTGAGAAGTCAGCTAGGAACGCTGGGGGTCCCATGCGGAGGCGCCCTCATGCGTGTGCCCGGACCGCAGCGTGTTTACGGAGCCCTGCCGCGAGCACCATCCTCACGCTCCTGCTGTGGCCCCGGGGTCCCCGCGGTAAGGAGGCTGAGCCTTTAAGCACCGGCCCAAGGTCACACGGAGGTGGCCTCCACCCTCTGCCCCAGCTCGTGTTTCCTGTCCTTCTCTGACTTCCGTTCCCTGGTCTTCCTGTTCAGGGGGACGCCTTCCTCCTGGTCGGGGCCAGGGCTCGCAGCCTGCGGGGACAGTAGGCCCAGTGGCCGGTGCGCAGCGGGCAGGTCTCAGCCATCCCTCCCTCCCACCCTCATAGAACTCGTGGCCGGACTTGAACTTGCAGCAGCACTTACCCGGCCGTGGGTTAGGCACATGTGTGGGGGCCTTGCCAGGCCCAGACGACAGGAAGGCACGCTGTGCTCTGTGTCAAGGGAGGTATGACTCTGCGGGGCCCCGGGAGCCTCGCTGCAGGGCCGCTCCGGGACCAGACCCACTTATCCTCCGCGGCCGAGAAAGAACTGACCCGCTTCCCGCATGTCCCCGCAGCCCGGGGCCTGACTGGGAGGCTGCCAGCCTCCCCCAGGCTCTCTGGAGTCCCGCTCCTTCGGTTTTGAAAAATAGAGCATCTCACATCCTGGACGGTGCGCTCTGCCCCATGGAGTCTCCCCGTCTGCTCAGACAAAGCTCCAGGGCCACGCGGGGCACGGAGGAACACCAGCACGAGGCTGCCCTGCTGGGAAGGTCCACGCCCGCGTCCAGCCCCCGAGAACTCGCACGTGCGGCCCTGGCCGTGACCGAGGTCGGCCACTCTCTCATAGAAGCGCGTGAGCTACTTCAGATGTTGAAAGGATCGTTTGTTAGTCTCGACGGAGTCAGACCTGGGTCTCCAGGTTTCATGTGCTTGCGGTTTTACGGACCATTGCCGCCAACGTCTGAGGGGTGTCACGGGGGCTTCTGCCATCTACTGGGCACGGACAGCCAGGCGCTGCTCACCCGGCCCTGCTCTCCCGGCCCTTCTCTCCCGGCCCTGCTCCCCCGGCCCTGCTCTCCCGGCCCTGCTCCCCCGGCCCTGCTCTCCCGGCCCTGCTCCCCCGGCCCTGCTCTCCCGGCCCTGCTCCCCCGGCCCTGCTCTCCCGGCCCTGCTCCCCCGGCCCTGCTCTCCCGGCCCTGCTCCCCCGGCCCTGCTCTCCCGGCCCTGCTCCCCCGGCCCTGCTCTCCCGGCCCTGCTCCCCCGGCCCTGCTCTCCCGGCCCTGCTCCCCCGGCCCTGCTCTCCCGGCCCTGCTCCCCCGGCCCTGCTCTCCCGGCCCTGCTCCCCCGGCCCTGCTCTCCCGGCCCTGCTCCCCCGGCCCTGCTCTCCCGGCCCTGCTCCCCCGGCCCTGCTCTCCCGGCCCTGCTCCCCCGGCCCTGCTCTCCCGGCCCTGCTCACTCGGCCCTGTCACCTGGCCCTGCTCTCCCAGCCCTGCTCACCCGGCCCTGCTCACCCCGGCCTGATCGTCTAGCCCTTCTTATCCAGTCCTGCTCGCCCCGGCCCTGTTCGCCCTGGCCCTTCTCACCTGCCCGTCTCACCTACCCCCTCTCCCCTGCCCCTCTCCCCTGCCCCTCTCCCCTGCCCTTCTCCCCTGCCCCTCTCCCCTGCCCTTCTCCCCTGCCCCTCTCCCCTGCCCTTCTCCCCTGCCCCTCTCCCCTGCCCTTCTCCCCTGCCCCTCTCCCCTGCCCTTCTCCCCTGCCCCTCTCCCCTGCCCTTCTCCCCTGCCCCTCTCCCCTGCCCTTCTCCCCTGCCCCTCTCCCCTGCCCTTCTCCCCTGCCCCTCTCCCCTGCCCTTCTCCCCTGCCCCTCTCCCCTGCCCTTCTCCCCTGCCCCTCTCCCCTGCCCTTCTCCCCTGCCCCTCTCCCCTGCCCTTCTCCCCTGCCCCTCTCCCCTGCCCTTCTCCCCTGCCCCTCTCCCCTGCCCTTCTCCCCTGCCCCTCTCCCCTGCCCTTCTCCCCTGCCCCTCTCCCCTGCCCTTCTCCCCTGCCCCTCTCCCCTGCCCTTCTCCCCTGCCCCTCTCCCCTGCCCTTCTCCCCTGCCCCTCTCCCCTGCCCTTCTCCCCTGCCCCTCTCCCCTGCCCTTCTCCCCTGCCCCTCTCCCCTGCCCTTCTCCCCTGCCCCTCTCCCCTGCCCTTCTCCCCTGCCCCTCTCCCCTGCCCTTCTCCCCTGCCCCTCTCCCCTGCCCTTCTCCCCTGCCCCTCTCCCCTGCCCTTCTCCCCTGCCCCTCTCCCCTGCCCTTCTCCCCTGCCCCTCTCCCCTGCCCTTCTCCCCTGCCCCTCTCCCCTGCCCTTCTCCCCTGCCCCTCTCACCTGCTCTTCTCACCTGCCCCTCTCACCTCCCCCCTCTCACCTGCCCCCTCTCACCTGCCCCTCTCACCTCAGGGCTCAGCGCTCCCTACTGCAGCCCCTCACCACAGAGGCAGTGGGCAGGCCTTCACGGGAAGTTGGCAGAGCGGAGTGAGGCCCGGTGCCCCGTGGAGCGGCCTCTGCCATTTTGGCCTCCTTGCCAGCGTTCGTCTTTCAGAAGATGGAGGCGCTGGCAGGCGGGGCCGGTCTGAGGCAGGAGCAGGACGGGCACGTGGCCCGGGCCGTGCTGGGTCCTGTGGGCCGGACAGGCTCTGATGTGGGACAGGGTTGGCCTTGTCCCGTTTGACACAGCTCAGGGTCTGGCCAGGGCTGATGAGGCCCAGCCTGTGAGTGCCTGGGAGAGGGGCTGTGGGGTGGCTCTGCCAGGGCTGGGCGTGGCCTGGAGGGGCTTGGTCTGAGCGAGAAAGGCTCAGTGGTGAGGTCACCTAGTGGGGGCAGCAGAGGCCCAGAGGGCCAGGCGTCACAGACAGGAGACAGGAACACGGTCGTGCAGAGCATCGGGCGAGGAGCGAGGAGCTACCTGGGAGGCTGCTCCAGGTTCCTTAAAAACAAAGAGCGAGTGAGCAAAAAGGAGAAGCCGCAGCGAAGAAGAGAAAGGAAGCAGGAAGCAGGGAGCATGGCCGGCCTGCGCAGAGCTGCCCAGCCATGGGGGCACCAGAGCAGTCATGTCCTCGACCATGGGGACAAAGGGCTCTCCGGCAGCCAAGAGCCAGGCGGGCACACGTCCGAGACCGGCCCCTTGCCTGCACAGCCCCTCCGCCACGCAGGGACAAACGGGCTCTTTGATTGTTTCCCGGTTCTCACCAGGGAGTGCTGGGCTCAGCTGGGCCTCACGGGACTTCCTCCCCACCCCACTGCAGGGCTGAGGGGTCCCAGCAGCGGCGTCCGATGGAGGCAGGAAGTGCAGGCGTGCTCTGGGGAGCTGCGGGCAGCTGCAGCAGGGCATGTGCACAGGGCAGGCAGCCCCTGTGGTCCTCGCCCCGTGGGCGGGCTCGTGAACAAGCAGGCTGGGGGATTGACCAGAACTGCAGAGACAGACCCCGCGGGGGGGCCTTAATAGGTGGGAGAAGGGCAGTGGCTTGCAGCAGAGATGGAGCCATTACCACGGACTCGCCAGAGTGAAATGCCGTCCACGCCGGGGCCTTCACGTAGCTAGCGGTGAGCAGCCCGGTACTGCGCCAGGGCCCCAGACTGGCACTCTAAAATGGCCCGTTTTCTGGGATCTCACCTCAACTGGAACAAAAACAAGAACGCCCTGCACTCAGATCCCTGCCTCACACCATGTCCCGAGAGGAAGTCTGAAGGGATCAAAGCCAGCTATGAGGGGAGGAAGCCGGGCCTGGAGCGGGCACGGTGGGCGCAGCGGAGGAGCACCTGGGTCTGAGCTGTGCCCTGCAGAGGCTACCAGGAGCACCAGGCTGTGCGTGTCTCACCGGAAAGGAGGTGAAGCCACCGAAAGCTCACAGCAACGAGGGCTAGATGGATCCCGACAAACTTGGAGCCGGGAGGACGGAGACTCAAGCCATCAGAAGAAAAGACTGACGGGAACCAGCAGTTAGCGTAACGGCTATGTCGCTGGACTCCCACGTAGTCGACCGCGGTTCGCGTCCCGGACCCGGTGGCTTAAAACTCACGTCAGGCGCGTGTGCGTGCATGCCCAAGATCCCAAGAGGAGAATGGAGGAGAAGGGACTGCGGCGTGGCCACCCCCCCGGGGGGGGTGATTTCTCGCTTTCTGTCTCTGTCTCTCTCTGTCTGTCTGGCGAGCGCACACGCCCTATAGCGAAAATCTCTCCAAAAAAAGAGGAAAAGACTGACCATGGCAGGTGGCATGGTGGTTTGGCTAAAAAGGCGCTAGACTCCCAAGTGGCCGACCATGGTTCAAGTCCCGGACCTGGTGGCTTGCTTGCTTTCTCACTTTCCTTCTTTCTCTTTGTCTCTCTCTGATCAAACTGGAAAATACTACTAATAAGAAATGAAATTAAATAAAATAATTCTTTGGGCACTGGACTCCCACATGGCTGCCTGTGGTTCAAGTCCCAGACCTGGTGTGGGTTGTTTTCTTGCTTTCTCTCTCTCTCTCTGTCTCTCACTCTGTCCTTCTCTGATCAAATTAAAAATAAATAAATAAATAAATAATAAAGTTAAGTTAAATAATTCTTTAAAAAATGTAGAGAAAAGAGAAGAAAGACCGTCTGACGGTTCCAAGTTAAAACTGGTGTGGAGCATCCAGCACAGATGCAGCCGAGGTCAGATGGTGACTGCAGTGGCCCGGATCTGAGCGCACGAGCCGAGAGCAGGCCCAGCGCGGGCCCTCAGCTCCCCAGGAGAGAGGCCCGGCTGCGAAGTGCCAGGCGGTCGGCACGCATGCTCTCCCGACACCTGGTGGGGTTCGGAACGCCAGGCAGCGAGCCCTGTGGGCAGACTGCGGGGCTGGCCCTTGGCCTCGCGATGCACGCTCGTGCGGTCCGGTCTGTCAATGCCACACACAGCTGCCTGCATCCGGGCGGGTCCCCGACGTCACACCTCCCAAGTGTCCAAGAAGACACCGGAGCTGCTCACCACAGCTGGGTGCTCAGTAAGCAGCAGGCCACACCCCACACGCTGGCCCGAGACTCTGCCTGCGCAAGTTGCGGCCTGCCCCGTGGAGGAGGGCCTGCCCCGTGGAGGAGCTCTGTGTAGCTGCGGAGTGACAGAGGTCTGCAGCCTGTTTGTGAACCAAGGCCATCTCTGGGTATGTTCGAAGTGAAAAAGAATGAAGCACACCCGTGGTAGGGCGTGTGGTGTGCGGCCTTCAGGGAAGAAAGGCGGGTCAGTGAAATAGATAAGCAGGTGACTTTCTTATTTTTGCATGAAGAAATGCTTATAGGGAAAAGCCAGAAAGTGATGAAACGCGGGAGGCGGGAGTGAAAGCAGTCGTGGCGGGGCGGGTCTCACACTCCGACCCCCGTCCTAGAGCGGCCACTCACTTGGAGGAGACACGGAAACAAAAGAGCGAAACACAGAACGTATGGCTCGACAACTTTAATTTGAAATGAATGAGTCTGAGTCTCAGATTAGCGACATAAACACAGAGGGAGTAACTGACCTGTCTCTGGGCGTGGGGCTTGAACCCCAATTCCAGGGGCAGAGGGGCACGGAGAACCCCGGTCTCCCTCTGCAGGGGCAGTGGTGACTGTCCTGGTGTCACTCCGATGGTGTTGCTGCGTACCAGAGACCCCGCTGCATCCAGCTTCTTAGGTGTGCTGGGCCTCGCGCCCAGGCCTCCCACGTGGCCGCAGCCTGCCTGCCGGACAGCAGTGTGTGCTGTCGAGTCGGAAGTAGCACTATGGATTTGTGACTTCTTGAAACTGATTTTTAGCTCAGCCCCCCAAACGGCACAGCAACAGCGGCACTCCCGTGGTGCCGAGCACCCCATGCTGGGACCTCGCCCTGTAAACACCATCCCACACCAAGGGGACTGAGGGCCTCGGAGAAATGCCACACTCTGGGTCTGGGACGAGGGCAGGGTGGGTGACCCTGGCACACTTGTGCCGGACGCAGAGAGCTCTTGGTCACTGGGTGTGCGGGCAGGCGAGCGGCCCCGTGGCGCGCAATGTCAGGGCAGAACGTGGGCTGGACGGGCCTGGCCTCCCCCAGGCCGCACGGACAGCCGGGCAGGTGCCTCCGCCCCTCAGACCAGTTGTACAGCCAGACACCGTCCGAGAGCTCTGTACCCCACGTCCGAAACACGACAGCCGAGTTCCAAGTGTGGGCTTTGTACTCTGCATCCGAAAGGCCGGGCAGGGCCCTTGGAGAGCCCAGGCCCAGCTTGGACTGAGCTGCGGGTGGCTGGGGCCATGCTGACTTGCAAGGAAGGGCTAAAGCAGGGGGTCAGTTTAGGAGACGTTTTGTCTGGAAGTGACTTTCAGTTCACAGAAAGCTGGAAGAACAGTACTGAGAACCCCGGGTCTCGACACACGTCTGCCGTTCTAACTGCGGTCACTCAAAACGGTCCCGCCGCTTGTCTGTGAGCCTGGGCCAGTGAGAAGGCGGCGGCTGCCGGGGAAGACGGGCGTGCGTGCGAAGTCTTCTGTGCTGTTTTACATGTCTGGAAACACTAGCAGGGTGCTGGGGAGGCAGGACGGGCAGACGGTGTGATGGTTACGTGTCTGGACTCCCATGTAGTTGACCACAGTTCGAGTCCTGGACCCGGAGCTTAAACTCACACCGGGTGCGTATATGTGCATGCCCAACATCCTGAGGGGAGACTGGAGGAGAAGGGATTGTGGCATGGCCACCCCCCTGGGGGTGATTTCTCACTTTCTGTCTCTCTGTCTCTGTCTCTCCGGTGAATGCACACATCCTATAGCAAAAACCTCTCTACAAAGGAAAGAGAAGAGAAAGGGGCTGGAAGAACCCAGGCTCTGGCAGGGCTGAATGAGGGCTCTGGCCGTACAGTGGAGGTGACGGCTCCCAGGGAGGGACCCCGGCAGGGCAGCTGCGGCCCCTCCTGGTGACACTCTGCTCTCCCATTTCCACCTGCAGTCGGCCACGGACAGAGCGAAGGGGAGAGGATGGTGGTGTCCGACTTCCACGTCTTTGTCAGGGACGTGCTGCAGCACGTGGACACCGTGCAGAAGGACCACCCCGGGCTCCCCGTCTTCCTCCTGGGCCACTCCATGGTAAGCAGCCCGGCCTGCAGACCAGCGGCTCCCCCCAGACACCTGCCCTAGGTGCTCCCGGGCAGTGCAGCACTTAGGGGCAGGCCAGGCCCTGAGACTGGGCCGGGCAGGTGCCCAGCAGTCCCTTCCTGCTGGGCGCCTGAGTGCACAGCCTCCTGGGGAGTGGTCTGTTTTCCAGCCCGTCGACCCCTTGGTGTCACTGCAGAGTGAGGCCATCAAGAGCCACCGCACAGGGAATGGCTTCTGAGTCCAGAGACACACAGACTGCTCCAGACACATGGCTTCTTTCAGGGCTCCCCACCCAGACGGCCGGGACAGGGGCCCGTGGAAACAAGTCTTCAGAGCTCATCTTTTCAGTGTGTAAAATGCTCTAAGAACCCACCAAGCACCGTCTTGAAATCAGGGGCCTGAATTTGGCAGCCCAGGACAGAGCTGCCTGCAGAAAAACCACCTGTCCAGCTGGGGGTGGGGGAGGGGCTGCTGTTTCCATGGCGGCAGGAGTAGAGGGCAGGCTGGCAGAGTAGCTGCGTGGTGAGGGGAGGAGCTGGCCACCGGGCAGAGTTTCCAATGCCTGGGGATGTTTCTCTGGGCAGGGTCTCCAGCCCCTCGCTGCTGGCGGGCTCTGCTGGTTTCCCTGGCTCCTCTGCAGCCCATCCCGGCGTTTCTCAGGCCACATTTCTGAGGCCTTTGGTGAACCCGGAGCACAGCGAAGTACTCTGTCCGCCCGGGTTAGCACCAGCCCGGCGAGCTGTCGCTGAAGCCTGCGGGGTGGGCGCGCTGCAGGTTAGCCACATTCAGCTCCCTGCACACTTGAGGCCCACACGCAGGAGCCGCATCTACACGTCTGGGAGCTGTTTGCTCTTGGAAACCCAGAGACAGGCACGTGTGTGCTAAGATCATTGCAGGTCTCGTCTCTCCAACGGTGGTCCCCCTAGGGCCCGTGGCCAGCACGTGGCGGAGGAAGAGCTCCGAGGCGTGCCTGGGAGACGGCCCACAGCCCTGTCCGTCTGCTTGGCAGGGGGGCGCCATCGCCATCCTCACCGCGGTGGAGAGGCCAGGCCACTTCTCCGGCATGGTGTTGATCTCCCCTCTGGTCCTCACCAACCCAGAGTCGGCCACGACCTTCAAGGTAAGGGCTCTGCGGTCTGGGTGGCGCTCGTGGGCCCCAGGAGCCAGGTGGGGGCTGCAGTCTGTGCTGGGCTAGAGCTCCACCTACGAGGCTCACACCGTGTGCGAGGCCTGGGGCCGGTGTCAGGTGTGGCTGCTGCTGGGCTGCGAGCTTTCCCCAGAGACAGCGAGCCGCCCGCCTGTGCGAGTGCGTACCGGTGGGGTGTACAGGACAGGCTGCATGGAGTTCAGCTCAGTGAGGTCGCGTTGACCCTCACGCCAGGCGGGCCACTTGCCGACTTCAGCAGGGAGCAGACAGCGAGTGGGGTGGTGACATCTGTGCCATCCCCAAGCTGTTGGCAGCGGTGACAGACAGACCACTGCGCTGTCCGTCCTCGCGCCTGGATCCTCTGTGACCTGCTGTCTCTGTCTTGTCTGGCCTTCCTGAGAGCCCACGGGGCCTTCCCCTGGGGTTCGATCAGGGGTGTTAAGAATGGTGCATGTGGGACCAGCAGTTAGCGGAATGGCTATGTTGCTGGATTCCCACGTAGTCGACCACGGTTTGAGTCCCAGACCCGGTAGCTTAAACTCACGCCGGGCGCGTGTGCGTGCGTGCCCAAGATCCCGAGAGGAGAATGGAGGAGAAGGGATTGC